AAAAAAAACCTTTTTATATTTAGTTCTTGTTGAATAGTTTTATTTGGTTATAAAAAAAATATTACAATTATAATGTTATATGATATTATAAGTTTGTAATATAAATATAATATCTTACTATATAATTGGTTCTTTTTATCTAAGAATTTATTTATAATATTATATGCATTCACTTATTTGATATCATATCATATTTATTTAATGTCATATCATAATTATAAGTTTACAATCATATATGGTATTGTAACTATAACATTATTGTTGATTAAAATAATTTCAATTACTATTCATTTGTTTAATTAAAATTAGCAATTAAATTTATATTTTGTTTAAGGGAAATAGAAGGAGAGGAGATACTACCTTTTCCTTTATTTGATTACAAAAAGGATTGGAGGGAAAAAAACTCTTCTTATTTTGTTTTTTTTTCTTTTGTTTTTAATTTTGTTTCGTATAATTTAACTTATCCATATCACATAGAAGAGAAATAAAAAGATTGTATATCATTTCATTCTCCTTTCTCTCACCTTTTTTTCTATTAAACCAAACATACTTTAATTAATGTAAAGGTCAAATTACGTCAGTTAAATCAACCCACATAATTGATTATGAACATAAAAATTAAAAAGATTATGATGTATTTCACTGAAAAAAGGAAGATGATTATCGTTCATTCTACATAAGAAAAAATAGATCCCACTAATTATTTTTTGCAAGAAAACAAGCCTAACCATATATAGCAAGACCGTGTTTGGCTACTCAAAAGTAAAGAATACAACTTCTATCTTAGTAGTAGAATAGCGAACCAGGACACATTATTATTCCTACACGTACTAATTAAAGGTTATAAAAAGGATCAGGGGACCGGAATCTCTCTTCATCTTAGAAAAAGGTAAGAACCATTACAAAAATGGTCAATTGATGATATTTAATAAGCCAAATCCCTATTTGTACCATGGATAGTATTGTTTTCTCTTGTTAATGCATTTTAGAATTTTTAATTTTAATCAATATCTTCTATAATTTCAAATTTGTAGAAAACTCAAAAATTAATGATTAAACTCTTTATTTGCATCTTGACTTGCATATGACCTAATCATTAATTTTAAAATTTTTTAAATTATAAAAAGTATTGATTAAAAGTGAAAATTTTAAAGAGTGTTAACTATAAAAAACAATAATATTCATAATATAAATAAAGAGTTTGACATATTTATTAATAACAAAATTATATAATATGATATAACATTTATAGTTGGTGTGGAACATGTAAAATAGTAATACATTTCTGTTAAAAAAATATAAATTAAGCACATGCAACTTTAACTATCTTGGTTTAGGTGCATTAAACTCTTAATATTTACTAGAGTTCCATCTAGCAGCCAAATCCCCCATTCCCCCACGGTCCCCCATGTTAACAAAACAAATGTAAATCAAAACACACATTCACATGTTTGACTTTTGACTTTTGACTTGCATATGACCTAATCATTAATTTTAATTTTTTTATAGGTTTTAAATTATAGAAAATATTGGTTAAAAGTGAAAATTTTAAAGAGTGTTGACTATAAAAAACAATAATATTCATAATATAAATAAAGAGTTTGAGCTATTTCTTAATAACAGAATTATATAATATGATATGATATTTATAGTTGGTGTGGAACATGTAAAGTAGTAAATACATTTCTATTAAAAAAATGTAAATCAGGCACATACAACTTTAGCTATCTTGGTTTATATGCATTAAACTCTTAATATTTACTAGAGTTCCATCTAGCAGCCAAATCCCCCATTCCCCCACGTTCCCCCA